CTCCCTCCCTCCCTCCCTCCCTCCCTCCGCTCCCCTCTTTTAGGGTAAACACGAGGTCAGTTTGTTTCGTAAGCCGCACTCCGGTATGCACGCTAGTGGCATTTGCCAATTCGCTTGAAATCTGTCCGAATTTCAGGTGACCGTCGGAGCACGGAATGATTAAACGAAACTTTTGGTATCAAACGAACTTTCTCTCTTTTTTTTTCCATCACGACGCGACGCAGGGACAAGGACAATAATAGATCTTGCAATATATCATTTCGACAAACGGCAAAAGTTCCCATCTTTCTCAAACGGATTAGATCTAAATCCCAAAGTTCCTCGTGTTATAGAATAATCTTGAAATATTTTAGCGACGAAGAGGCATGGAGTTGACAGAATTATAAGAATTCTGCCTCCGGCGAAAACGTGAAAAATGCGTTCGCATACGTGTGCATTTACTCCTTGTGCGACGAGAGACATGGTGTGTGCGTCAGAGCGGCATCGAGAGGAAGCCGGAGGTCTCACTTGATGTGCTGATTTCGCCATTTTCTAGCGACGGACGTAGTGCAAAGCGCACGTGTGGAAATGTAAATTATAATAGAAGCGAGAGAAGAGGACGATGAAATTTTGGGAGAAAAAAATCTGTTCGCGCTAGCAAATCTCATTACTAGCGTAAATAGAGTCGTTCAATATACTGTAACGTAAAAAAAGAGTTTTAATTAAATATGCCATATTTTTGCTAGTATATTTAGTCCCATTACCAGCGCAAATACGGTCGGTTCAATATTATAATGTAAAACAGAGTCTTAATTAAATGTACTACATTTTTGCTTAGCGTATAACTTTTTTTACATCAACGCGAAAAGTTTTCAGAAACCGACAACGTAAGAACTGGATCAGTAGTGAAATCTCGTAGACTCGTAGTGAAATTTATTCTACACCGTTCCTCTGAAATACGCATTTCCTTAGTTTATACATTCCTCTTTTAAACAGCTTTTATCGACGCGTTTAAGTCCGTGTAAAACCGAAGGACGGGACGGGAGAGCCGATCGCCATCATTAAATTTCAAAGCGTAACGTGAACGAGCATTACGAAGAGTATTTCGTATGCGCTGGAAGCATCGCATGTTGGAACGCGTATGGTAGTTAGGTTGCGCTGCCAGAAGATATTCAAAGCTATTCCGAGGCGAGGCATCTGACAGCGGTTTCGGCTTGTCGCCGGAGGAGGACCGTGTGACATTGTCGCGTAGACAGAGAATTTGCGAACTGTGCAAGAGATTAGGCGTAGTTTGAGAGAGGCTTACAGACAGGACGCTGGCGGCTTAGGGCAGCTTAAAAATCATAAATCCAAGATTAATTGAGCGCTTTCTGTCCTCGAGTGAGATAAATTATTTATCTCACGCCTCATCGGTACGTCGACGCCTTCTCTCGCGGCATCTTTCCCCCTTCTCCTCCCCTCCATCCTTTCCCCTCACGCCTTACATTATGCAAATCCACACACTGTTTCCTTATATCGCGTATTACACGGCATTCTCGTGATAACGTCAAAGTAATCGCGCGCGAAGCTCTTGCATATCTCATCATACGCCTCGTGTAAGCGCATTATAATACAATGCCTCGCCCAAACGCGAAGCTATTTTTCATAATAGCAAACGCACGAAGAACGGGCGCTGAGCGATATTTTCGCTTGGTCAACTCTCTCCAATACGAGATTTCATCTCGGCGGCCGAGAGGCCTGATTATCGTAGAAACGATGTGATTTAAGCACTGATGTAGAAAAATCGATACAGAAGTTTGATCGTCTAATAATATACCTATATTATATACGTGTGCGGTATGCTCTTACAATCAATCTATATATGCCGATTTTAGCAGAAAAAGAAGTAATTCTACTGCAATTATCATTGATAAGCTCTGTGAGAGCTTAACGTTGCTCATGTAACGAGTTAACCAGTGACGTCAATCGCCCATCATCTGGGTGCATTCCTCAATTTTTCGGCGCGTGTACCATTTCTAAAGCGCTTAAGCGATAGCGGGAGAAGACGGGTGCGGGCGGCAGACAGGAGGCTGCTGCCAATAAACTATAAATTTCGAGCTGGAAGCCCGGAGAAAATCCCGGCGCAACGTGTTAGTGACAACTGAGAGGATCTGAGAAATTCGCGCGGGCTTTAATTCTCGCTTTTGTCTCCGCTTTTTATAATTTGATACATTTTCGATAGAAAATGTATCTGTTAATATCTGTATCTGTTAATATCTCGTCTGTTTTGTGAGCAAAGTAAACGATACATAACATATAATTTTTAAACTGTGTACTTTTTACAGAAGATGCTATAAGAATCCGCTAACTGGTCGATCGCCGTATGACTTTGTGGTCTGCATTTTTCATCGCGATGCCTCCTTCAATCGGCTTTGTTGGTTGAAGAAACAGAATAGATAGCGAGTAATCGGTATTTTTCAATATTTGTCGGAAAAAATTTATGCGGAATAACGGTAAAGCTGATGATTTGTAAAAGTCGATTTGCGTAAGTCAGATTGCGTTGCTTCAATAATTTCTTGCTACCGGGATTCAAAGGCAGATTTGAATAGATTTGGTACAATCTTACACAGATCGCGCAGTTCTGTATCGGTAATCGAACACGAAAATCAATTGTGAACAAAGACGGTAATGATGCGAAATTGTTTCAAACAGAAATCACCGTTCGTTTTTGTCTTGCATTAATTCGTCTCTTAATTGTGTGATTTTTATCTCAAACATGTATATATTATCAACATTCGTTTCTCGGCTTATCAAAACCTAACGTTCTGTGGAAGAGGAGCTCCTCTAATTGTAATTATTTAATTCAAAAGTAAAACTCACCTTAGTATCATTGTAAATAAGCCGCAGATGAAAGCGCTTTAAGATATCCAATTCGTTGACGCGCTCGACCGCCAATTTGGCCGCTTGTAGCTCGCTGGATCCGTCCGGCCTCGGTTTCAACCCCTGCGTCATCTCAAAGAGACCCAGGATGGTTATATTTGTCTTCTCCATCGGCGTCGTTACATCGATCTCCGTTCTGCCGTCGGAATCGTTCCTATCGCGTGTCGCGCTGTCGAACTCACTGTCCGCGATGTTCGCAGTAGTCACCGCGAGTTTTTCGTCGAGTTTTTCGTCGAAGTTAATGCCCGAGAAATCCGACGTACGTTCTTTCGGTACTTCATTGCCGGATAGCCACGATTCGTCGTAAGTAACATTCCGCTTCGCGTCCATCTCCGTCGTCTCGTCGCTATTGTCCGCCTCGTTCATCTCGCTTACGACGTCGTCGTCGGAGTCGTCGTCGTCGTCGTCGTCGTCGTCGTCGTCGTCGCTCGTCTTGCGACGAAGCACGTCTCTGCTGGGACTCTTTGGTAAGTCGGGAAGCACGGTGTACCATGTAGATGTTTCTTCAAGTACGTCCTCCTTGTGCGGGCCGAAGTGTCGCCTGTCAAACTTTTCGACTTGCGCCGGCACCGCCGGCGACTTGTGATTGATTTTTACGGGAAATTTCTGAGAACCCTCGAAGCCGGTGAAAGGCGCTTCGCTGTCGACGTCGATATCGGTATCGCTGCTGCCGTTGCCAGGCGTCGTCGATACTTCGCCCACTCGCGCGAAATGATCCTCGTCCTCGTACCCTCGATCCTCGCTCGTGGACTCCTTCGCTTCGCCGAACTTCTTTATTCTAATCACCGACACGTCGTCATCACTCGACCTGGAGCACGCGACGTTACGACAATTCGCCGGGCGGATTTCCGCTCCATCGATATCCAAGGAACTGTCAACGTACTCCGAGTCGGCATCGGTCCGATTCTCGATATCCGAAGTTCCGTCGAGTTCGACTTTGTTCTCGATTGAGATGACGCCAACATCGAAGTCATCGGCAGCTGCATCGAACGCGATTGCATTGACGTTTGAATCGCTCGCGTTTGCGTTCGTGAACTCATTACGAACGTCATTTATTACGACACCGTCGCTCTCGCGAAGCCGATCGGCCGGGCTCCGAGATCCGCGTGCACCCGCGCCACCGCCGCCGCTTTGATTATCAAGCGCGTATATATTGCGACGATCTAAATGAGTTTGCCTCGCGGTCCAGAAGCCGCCAATCCCGCGATCGCTTCGATCACTCGCGAGATCGTCACGGCGCTCCGCCGCAACGTCAATATCGCGCTCATTCAAGGCCTCGCTCTCCCGCAAACTTCGATGGGCCGAATAATCGCTCGTGCGTTCATTCGCAACGGGAGTTTCGGCGAATAAATTATCGGCGTTTAGACCCGCTCGCTCTGCCTGGAAACTGACTCTATTGCGATCTCGTCGACTTCTCGTTGGCTCCGTCGGTTGACTGATACTTGGAGCCGCCTCGCGCGAATGCAACCGATCGATCGAAACTTCGATTAATGCGTCCTCGGCATCGCGATCGGGAACGGGGATCTCGGGTGGATTGCCGGCACTTGGGCGTGATCCGTCTAAAATCGTCAAGCTTGCTTCATTATCACTATCGCGAAATTGGACTTCGTTCACAGCCTGATTCACCGTGTAATAAGGAGTAACTTGAAGCGTCGGCGCACCATGTCGCTTCTTGACCAGATTGCTCAACCATTTCTTCACACTTTCTTCACGCTGCTTCATACTTCGAAAATTGCTCCCGTCACGAATCTGTCGAGTTTTCGCAGGATCGCCTAATCGATCGTCGGATTTCCGTTTCGAATAATTACTCGCATAATTAGGACGCACTCGATGATCATCGCCGCGTTGATCGTTATTACGGCTCGCGAGGATATCGTCGTCGAAATAAGCTTGCCTCGTCACTGACGGCTCGGATCCATCGCGGTCCCTCTGAGTTTTCAGCGAATCACCGGGATGATCGTCACTGGCCACGTCGCTAGCACTTTGACCAGCCATGCTTGAAGCTTCGTTTTCGCGTTGCATCCATTCCGGGATCACTCTGGGAGCGTCGAGGTCTCTCCGCTCCGGGTATCTCCGTGCCTCAAGGTAACGGGGAAGCGCGCTCAGGTCACGGCTCTGGAGCCTCGTCTTTTCGTCGCACGATAAGGCTGTGCGGAGAGAGGTAAGGCCGAGAAGGAGGAGGGTCAGGCAGTGGCGTGCCTGAAGGGCTTCGGAGGAAGAGAACAACAGGAGGAGACGAGAGAAATGCCACCGCGTGCGGACGCGCGTCATAATCAGTCGTCGATTCTGTGACGACTCGAGGCGCTCTTCCGGTTCCTCCTCATCTGCAAAAGAAGAGAGATCGTGTCGTGAGATTGACTCCGAATCAGCGCGAGGTATGTGTCAAATCGATAGCGCGCGTTATACAATATCATATATCACACGGATTGTAAGTGCGATTGAAAATAAACAGCTTTTCGCGGGTAATCAATTTTTGTCGTGACTTGATCTCGAAGCGATCTTAATTTACTGAACGCAATATAATATATAAATCGTTTTTCTGCAAATATATTTCCTCTATACATTGCCGAATGCAATAAATTCAGATGGTATTCTTCGTTGTATACATGGAATCGATATATCGAATTCGATAGTTTTTATTACGTTCATCCTTTCTATCTCCGAGATCGAAAAAGTACTTGCGGATAAATCAGGTAACTCGCTGTACAGACAAGTAACTCGCGAAACTATTTGAGCCTCTCGCTATTTATAGGCAAAAAGTTTATTCACTCACATTACAGATACCACTCTCCACCCAGCATCAAAAGCCCCCTCGCGTATATCTCGCGTAAAGAAAAGTTTCGTCGTTTTTCTACAGAAGTACTTTATATTTAATCCGCATTTGCAAAGTTCTCGTCTAAGATCCGTTTTTACGATAGAGATTTTCACGCGTGTATAACGCGCCCTAAATTATAATTTTCAACAATTATCGGGACTCAGCGATCGGTAACGAAACTCGCCCGTGTAATTGGAAAATAAAGTAATCTACTAATGGAAATATTCATACGTAAATTCTGGACCGGCTAACCCGATATCAGGCCGGGCCGATTTTACACTTGGAGGATTCGATGTTCTCAATTCCATATATAATAGGCTTACAGGAATGAAATAATTTTATGAAATTGGCAAGCAAGCACAAATGAAATTCAGATGGAGGTATTACGTGCCAGGAAATATAATTGCGACACTGTATTACATTTACGAGCCACTTTGGGGCTTCTCTTTAATTACGCTAAGAATTTAAAGCTCTGAAAATCCCCGTATCAGAGCTCGTTAATCTCGTTCCTTTTTTTGCACGGATCTTACACTTGCGTATGAAGCGAGCGGTAATAGGTAGATTTAATTGTTAACATGTATATTTTATATCTCAGAGCGTGTGCACGGGTAAAACTTGTTTGCACATTAAGCATCCAGATCAATGAAAATATCAGTTATTATTGTTAACGTGTAATATCATTTGTAACGATAATATCTGATAATACTTGTTTATTAAAGGAGAGAATAGAGAGCAGTCAATATTCATTTTTATGAACAATAGAATTTATCCGCGCGCGGAATATCTAACAATATCGAAGTGTGTTTGAAAATATGTTTCACGGGGGTAAGATTGCGAAAGAAAAGCGGTCAAACTAAGCTGCCGTAGTAATTCGATTTCCATCGGCTGGTAATGGGGTCTCGAATGAGATTAGAGAAGTCTTCGAGGTTGAGGGCGTTTTATCTACGTCGTTATTACGCGGGCGCGAAACGGGATGTAGAAAGTTAAGTAAAATTTGTACCGAGAGATAACGCGTGACAGTGCCTGTCATTGCGCGAATACAGACCGCAGGGAGATCAACATCTTTCACAATTACGGCAAGTCGATGCTCGGCGCAGGTAAGTGTCCAGCGGCATTTACCGCCCCTTTGTCGCAGTCGAAAGATCCATTAAGACGTAATACGGTTACACGGTAGTATCGGTGCGCTAGTAACGCTGTTAGCTCCCAAACTGTGTTATGAAGGCGCACGAAATGTTTCGAAGCGCGGACTGCTGTCCGACCCTTCCTTTTGTTCTCTTTTTACATCGAAGGAAAAAGAAGTTTGGGAGTTATATAGCATGTTAGCACGAATCTGATATTACGTCTTGTAATTCTGTCACGCTACTCTTTCTTTTTTTCGTCTCGGATCGGAATTACGAGATTTTGCGGAACGCGGCGCTTGTCTCCTGTTGAAAAAGCGAGTCGCTCGTTTGGTGAAACATACTTGTTCTCGCAAACTCAAAAACTTCGTCGCGTAATCTGCTTAATGCTGGCGCAATGTGATGGGAACAACCACGGTACGAGAATCGCAATAGGTAGCTTAACGGACTGGCTAACTTTTCACTCGGGCAATGAAATTGTTGACCTCGCTTAAATGTTATTTTAAATACACATCACACAACTAGACGACGGTATAACAAACTGAAATAACAAGATGAATGCAATTCATTTTATACGCATATATTATTATACCTCTGGCAATCTGTTGCTCGTGCAATTTTTGCTATGAAATAAAATATTTTTAAAAATGTGATCTCTGAAAGATATAAATAAAAATTAAATAATTATAGTTAATTTTTTCATAATTGCCTTTTGCTTTGAGTGACTTTCAGTTAAAATTAAACAATTAAATTATGTTTGAATAGAAATTTCTCTCTTTCTCTCTTCAATAATGGATAGATTGGAATTAATCCAATCTATCATATCGTTTTTATTATATTTCCATTACGATTAGATGACAATATACATTTATAAATACGTATATAAAATATCTAAAAGCTCGGACATATATATTGTAGATTTCAGATGATTGTCAGATTTCAAATAAAGTTAATATGAACCGATGACAGCTAACAAAAAGAATGATAAATGGTTGAAAAACATTAATGTCGGAAATACCGGCAGAGAAGAATACATTTCTCCTATAAATACATTTTTCTGCTTGCGGCTATTTACTTACATATCGCACGAGTCTCTTTTCTATTCTGCTCTCTAATTCCGAACAGAAGGTTAAGCATTCTAAGAAGTTTAAGATACAGAGGCTTTAGAATAATAATTAACAACTATTATAAAATATACAAAAGTCTAGCGATAGTAAGTGCCTCAATCGTGTGTGTATTCACTTTTTAAATCGTACATACACGCATTAATCCCGGTTTAACACCCTCCGCTATAACGAATACAACTCCATTTAGTCGTGCGCTATTAATCATGATCAATACCCTTCTCTCTTCCCTTTCTTCTCGTCGACCTTATAAATCATTTTATATTTATGAGGCACAATTCTGGACTATGTCATTATTTACTCCCCGTCGGCCAGGAGTATTATCTTGCCCGCCCCAATAAAACTGTTTTATTATGACGTTCTCCCGCGATAGACGAAGGGTGGCACCGATACTCCTCGTCTGGTTGACATAAGAGCGGAAGATGCGAAGTCTCGCGGAGGGGTAGATATCCATCGGACCCCTGACCTACCGTAAATTGCGATCGTGCGTCCCGTGTATGTCTCGATAAAGGGTGGGGCGGGTTGATTCAATTCGAACGGAGAGACGGTGAGTGATGTGTATAGGACGGACAGTTCCGGTATTTCTCCTATATGTCGTCCATACCGGAAGTCGAGGATATATGTACGGTGTGTCTGATCAAGAAATGTCTCAGATACCTCGTGGTGTCCGCGGCAACGGTGCAACGGTGCCACGAAGTCGGAAATGCTTTCGGATGTCGTTGCGGCAAATTATTTGGCAAATCCCATTTTCAAATCGCTATTATTGAACTTCGCGTGAAGTTACCATTGCCGCAAACTTGATTACAAATCGTGATTATCTTTCTGATTCCGTGAGAATAAGGATTCTCAAATCTGAAAATCCATTCCTGGAGAAACTTAAATAAAAAATTTAATAAGTAAATTATTACGGTGTGAGTTTGCTATCTCTGGTATTCAGAGTCCCTAGAGGAATTTCTTCGAAATTATGTGTGGGACGTGAATATTGGCTTCTCGAACATCTACTTGCATTGAAAACTTACTGTGATAAACTAGATAAAGTCAAACAGGTAATGAAATTGAATATTCATTACATTATATCAAGTATACATTTTATAAATGGAGATCATATCTCAATGTAAAATCACATTTTTTACATCTAATTTGCCATTGATATTCAGTTTGTTAAAATAGTTTTTTAATTATAACTTTATTGTTATAATTACATTAATTATAACTATTATTGTTTGTTAGTTTGATACAATATTTTCTACAAATATGTTTTTCTTACGACAAAATCTTCCGAGAACAATACAATACATAACGGATAATGGTAGTAACCAGCAACTAAAAGAACAAGAAGAAGAAGAAGCAGAAGAAAATGCAAAGAAGCCGCATGAGAAAAGATTAGAGGGATGAAGAGATCCAGACCTTTAAGTAACCTACAGAGAACTCCATTCTCCTTAACGATTGTAAAAAACATCTCGGAAAATTACTTTTTGTTAAGCAGTTAATGGCGGAGATTGAAGGTAAACCTAGAAAAGATTCTGTTCGTTTCAACTATTAAAAAGATCTAATTTTCGCAATATCGACTGAACTTTCAATTTATTTTCTTATACGCGGTTTCATTTTTTAGCTAATTAACTGATTTTACAAATACAATATATTTGTATAATCTGACGTAAATTGTAACTTTTGATAAAACTATCAGTCCTGTTATTTAAATTGAAGTGACGGACGTGACTCGATGCTTAATGCGGAAACGTTTTGATAGACTGATGTATTCTGCTCTCTCTAAACTTCTTGCTAGACAAATGTGGCGTATTCCAACGAGACGATCTACAGAAACAGTAGACAAGTCCGACATGTGGCTGAGATTAAATTTGAGCTTACGGAAACGTTTTCGTCAAAGTTAGTCAGATAATCATTACAAGTTGAAACCAGTTTCGCTTCTCGATTCTCTCGTCTCGTATAACGAATGCTATTTTGCGAAGTAATCGACATCGGTTTCGACGTACGCTTAAAATCACCTCGGTTCGGATTAATAGAATTATTTCGAATTGATACGCCGAAGATGGCGACGCCAAGAAATTCACAGCGCCCCCGTCCGATCTACAGCTGTGAATACATTGGCATCTTAATGCACTGTTAATTGAATCGTTATCTCTGACAAGCTAAATAATCGATCGATATATTTTATCGGTGCTAATGATACCCGACGTGCGACACCGGTTCCTC